AAACAGAAATCAAAGAACATTCCGCCCTAAAAAGAGTGCACCTCTGGGAGTAAGGTTAGTTTCGATTGAATTCTCTGTTTTCAGTTTCATGATAATACCTCATAGTGTCTTAAAATGGTTTTTTATGGGTAATAGGATACTTGTATTTGTTTTCCTTTGATGTTAATAAACATTTAACATAATTTATTGTTCTGATTACCTGAGACATACATGGAATGATAGTTTGCCTTACCTTCTGATCCTATTTCAAACAAGTCTTTCTTATGGTCTTTGGTCTGCAGGTTCTCTTTAGAAAATAATCAAAGTAGTTGATTTATAAAAGATTTCACATGTGACAGTTGAATTTGAATTTTAGAACCCCACTGAGTAAAATGTTGTAGGTGTATATGTACATCTGCACACAGTAAGTAATAAAGCAGAGGAGATTTGGATAGAACCTCCAATTCCCTAGAGATGGCCATTTAATCATGGGGGACAAGATATGTGGCTAAATGAGGCCAGTTTATAACTACTAACATCTTGTCATTATGCTGTGATTCAAAAAACACATAAGGACTTTGCTGCAAGCTGGGGATTGTTCAGGTATATGGGCTACTTTGGGTTGCTACCTTCTGCATGCTGGCATAGACCATTTCTGCGTTGTGTTATCACAAGCATGTCCCTGGTGACCCATTTTTGCATTATGATCCTGTAGGCTTTGCAGAGTTTGTCTGATACTTCTGTTATTCATTGCCGCCCACCAACACAACCTCTTGAGTTTTCTCTTTCTCTCTCTTTGGTTTAGGGGAAATAAGGAGACTCGAATGCTTTGTATAGGCAATTTTTGCAGAGTTGTAGAGAAATGGGACAGAATTTTCTCTTTGACATCTCTTTGAGCTAAGGCTCATGGCCATTATACCATATCTTTTTTTTTGAAAATTATACCATATCTCTTTAACTATTTTGCAAAAAGATGCATACCAGTTTTCTATTAATTTTGTTTATTTTTTTTCCTTTTTCTGGATGTTTTCTTGCCTTCTGATGATGTACCTTCTTCTATTCTCTCTCTAATAATATCATTTTTTTTTTTAAATTA